TTATTTATTTATTTATTTATTTATTTATTTATTTATTTATTTATTTAATCAGGACAGTGCACATTAATGAACAATCTCATACAGATTGTAAATGAGCCAGATTATAGCATAGTTGCTAGTTTACATCTGTTGTCCTGAGGCAGGAAGACCAAACAACACAATATCACAAAATACAAAATCAGTCCAAACACACGTTCAGACAATGACATTACAAAATTAAAATTAATTCAATTCAATTCAATTTCATTTATATAGCGCCACATCACAACAACAGTTGTCTCACAGCGCTTTCCAAACAGAGCAAGTCAGACCCTACTCTGAAGTTAATTACAGAAACCCAACAATTCCCACCATGAGCAAGCACTAGGCGACACAGGCAAGGAAAAACTTCCTTTTAACAGGCAGAAACCTCGAGCAGAACCATGGCTCATGACTTAACCACATAGCTAAAAACATAACAAATTTAATTTTGAATAAAGGATAAAAAATTCATCCATCCAGTATGTCAGAATCCCCTAAAATTCAGAAGTTCCGTACTTCTTTTGGAAACTCTCTGTCTTGGTATGGTTGTAAATGGAGGACGACTCAGATTTAGAAACTGGACACATAGATAAAAGGGATTTGTAGTGACTAGTGTTTATTATAGAAACAGGATAACAAAAGGTGTGGCCATGCTAGAAAAAAATAACAAACTAAATGTGAACAAAATCAGATACTAAGGAAAACTAAATCCAAATGAACAAAAGTAACAGCATAAAAGTTATGACATCCAATAGTCAAGAATAGATGAGCAACAGAAAGACGTGTAATTTAACAGACGGATGGTCGATGATCTGATAAGAGTGAATGAACCAGGAAAGTACAAATGAAAAGGACAGGGATTAACTGCATAAAGAGCAGGTGAAGGGAGGGGGGCAGATTATCATAAAATAAAAACATTGATTGGAGTATGGTTGAAGATGATAAAATGTGAAAGGAGGGAGAAAATTGAGAAAAACATAGAAGTACAACACAGGAAACAGAAACTGGAGACAAACTAACGACAACTGAAACTAGAATAAAAGAACATGAAATAAACGTAGAACAAGGAAACAATTGAGGAACAAGAGAGAAAGAAAAACAAAGTGCAAAAAGTCCAAAAATGAAAACAACAAAATTATTATGTATTATTAGAAATTAGAGCAAACCAAAAAAAACTCTGCAAAAACTTCAGAACTAAAGACAGATTGTTGCAAATGTGATGCGAAAATCCCCATTGGGCCCCAGAAACAGGTACAGGAAACAGAAAAGGCGAGCCTCCATGTACTCCCTTTGAAATGGAACAGGAACTGGAATAAGCCATCCTAAATGGACTGCCTTTGAGACTGACCAGGAAAATTAGGAGGGAAATTAGTCAATCCCCCTTTTGTAACCCATCTCTTTGTGTCCCCTGGAGAGTGTCAAATAGCAAAATAAAGCACTTTAAGTCCAAAAATCCCAACACCAAAATTATAAACTTGAACAAAAATAGTCAACTTAAAACCCAAATCTTATGACAGTTTTTAAATTGTATAAATTAAAGCGATTTCAGCTGATGCACTAGCATTAAGGGGGATTTGTGTGGTAAACTGATGCAAAATTTGTGTCCTGGTTTGCACTGAAAACCACCTTATGCATGGATGAGTTCATACAAAATGGAACACGTATGTTCCAGCCGTTGACAAGAGAAATCCTTGTGTGAGGATCATTATTTTATTTCATCCATTTTTAATTAAATCGGTTCATTTAAATCGCATGACACTTTGTGAAATCTGTTTGCAGGCTTTGCCCACAGTGTTAAAAGGTCAGGAAGATAAGAGTTGCCTTCCTAAATTTTCCAATGATTAAAGACTGCATCCTTTTATTTTGTTTATTATATTTGTTTTATTGTATTTCTATTCCATGTGTAAATTCAAATATATCCCAATGTGTCTGTGTAATCTCTTTGAAATGAGACTTTTGAGCTGTTTGTAAGTATATAAATATTGCAACAGCCTCAGCTTGTCATCTGTTGTTGTGGTCTCTTAGGGTTCTTCATGTACATTGAGACATCAAGGCCTAGGCAAGAAGATGACAAAGCCCGTCTGTTGTCTCCCACCTTCAACATAAACTCCAACACATCCCCTTCTTCAGTCAGCAACAACCCTACCTACTGCTTTGCCTTTTATTACCATATGTATGGGAAACACATAGGTAAGAATGAAACAAGAGGCCATCTACCTCAGGTATTACACATATAAGATCAAAATAACAATAAATTCCATAAATGAAATTGTTTGCTTCCCCTGTAGGAGCTCTGAACGTCATCTTGCGTCAGAAAGGTCCGAATGTGAAGGACACACCTGTGTGGAGTCTGAACGGCAATCAAGGTGACCACTGGCGACAGGCCAGGGTCAACATTCACCCAACTACAGCTTTTCAGGTATATTCAGCAACTGAGCTTTTATAATCACTATTATTATTTTTATGATTATTATATGTTTATGCATTTAGCAGACGCTTTTATCCAAAGCAATGTACAAAGTAAAGTATATATACAGTGGGGGAAATAAGTATTTGACCCCTTGTTGATTTTGCCGGTTTTCCCACTTACAAAGAATGCAACGATATATAACTTTAATCATATGTACATTCTAACAGTGAAAGACAGAATCCCAAAGAAAATTCCAGAAAATCACATCATATGAATTTATAAAAATTGATAACCATCTGATGTGGAAAAATAAGACTTCTTTCCCCCACTGTATATATATATAATATTACACCTTTATACCTTTATTTAGCCACTTAGTTCATTGTAATTTGCACTTTGTACTGCTAGATGTCACTAAAATCTTCAAGTAAAAGATCTAATTACTTTTTTCTTCTGTCCACACTGTGTTTTATTACTTTACTATTTACTATTATTTACAATTACAGAACGCTGCATTTTCTGAAAAATAAATCACAACCATTCCCCAAGTGTTCCTCCTAACCCTTTAAAGCCTGATCCAAGAATAAAACAAAACAGAAAATTCAGTTTTTTTGTTTAAATTCCTTATTTGGCCTTTTAACAAAATATGTCAAAAGAAAAAACAATATTTTTTTAATATTAATAATTTATTACTATGCGATAAGTCAAGATTATTTTTTGTGTAGTCTTCTGCCCCCTGTTATCAGGTGTATCTGATTGTGTACAATATGATTTTGAGCAAAGTTTTTACCATTAAATTATGCAAAAGGTGTCAGACACAAAACATTTCAGAAACTGGATGTATCAAATATGATACATTTGGCATTACAGGGTTAATTGTGCTCATTCACAGGATAATGGTAACAGTAAATGGGCTCCATAGGGCTTTTCTACACTAACTGTCCACTCAATACGATTAGGGTATTACAGGTTTCCTCTAACTAACCTTAAACTTTAACCACAGAGTACATTTGTAATGATATGAGACACACTGTTTATGAAACACCTACCAGATACACAACAACAGAAGTTACTCTAAAACCCTGCCCCATACTGTTACAAATGTGGATAGTTCACTTAAAGACAGATTCGCTTTGCCAATTTAAAAAAAAAAAACAGATAATCTGCATTACATACAGCATTTTGAAGAAAAAATTAAGAATCCATGCTTCCTCTCTTTTTCTTCTGGTTGTGTAGATGGTCATGGAGGGAGTCCGAGGTTCTGGTGTTCAAGGAGATATTGCAATAGATGATGTCACAATTAAGGAGGGTGAATGCAAAGATCCTCCACCAAACAGTGAGTACCATCCCAGAATAGTAACACTCCTACAGTTCCTATCAGGTTTTATTCTACTTAAGTGTCAAATTCCGTATAAAATACTGTTAATTCTTATCATTAGTGTAGTTTTAGTAGTGGTAATTATGTATTCCTGTCAGATACTTTGATTTGTCTATTCTTTTGAGACACCAAGGCTTTCACAACGTCTTCATATTCGATTTTTCTATTCTGATTTTAGGATAATTTTATTGTTTTTATTCAATTCTTTCAAAACTAAACACTTTTTCTAATTTTAGCCTTATGGGCTTCTGTCCATGTTTGCCATATTTAATTCAACATGGCACAAAAAAAATATTTTTATGTTAAAATCCCTAACCACAAAGCCCAGTGGTAGTTCCAATGCCTAAATTAATCTTGAAATAGCTTTTGCTGAACCTGACAAAATCATTCTTATAAATCTGTCCTATGTCACAAGTGAAAGAACAGAATGAATTAATGAACTTTCATTAAAGCAGGTTTAGCTCTTTCTTAGAAATTCAGTTCTTTTTAAATATTAGTAACCTCTGATTTAAATTTTGTATGATTACTTAATTAAGAATGTATCTCTTTCTGTTTTTATTTATAGTTTTTTATTTATGACATTGTTTTTATATTTTAATGTCTTCAAAAAACATTTGTTGCATGTGGAGTCCATAAATCGTAGATGGAGTGATGGAAGTGTGGATATATACTTACTGGCCACTTTATTAGGTACACACTTCAATCACATGCTAACACAAATAACTAATCAGTCAATTGTTACTACCAAGGAATCCAGAATACCATCTCTGAACATACAACAAAGGGAACCCTGAAGAAGATGGGCTTTAACAGTAGAACAGCTCCTGCCAGCTAAGACCAGAAAAATTAGACTATAGTTAAAACAGATTTACAGAAACTGGTCAATAGAAGATTTAAAAGTGTCGTCTGCTCTGTGGAATTTGGATTTCACCTGCTACATTAATACGGTATGGTCAGAATTTGGGATAAACGACAAGAAAATATGGACCTATCCTGCCTTGTAACAATAGTTAAGGGTGGTGTAATGGTGTGGGAGATATGTTCTGTGGGGGATAAGTATTGTTGCTGACTTTATAGTCATAGTGTAGCCATTCTGATGTCTATTTCCAGCAGGATAATGCTCCATGTCACAAAGCTCATGTAATCTTAAACTGGTTTCTCAGTCTTGACAGTGAGTTGACCGTTCTCTGGTGGCCACCGTGATCAGATCTCAATCCAATAAAGCAGCTTCGGGATGTGGTGAAATGGGAGATTATTATAGATTGCAGCTGACAAATTTACAGCAGCTTCATGATGCTGTCATGTCAATACGGACCAATGCTCTAAGGAATTTTTCTTCCAAATACTACATTTCTGAATCAGAATCAGAATCAGAATCAGAAATACTTTAATAATCCCAGAGGGAAATTATTTGTGTTACTGGCTCCATAAATAAAACAACGGCATACACATATATACATGTCTGTACATATATATATATATATATACAAAATTCCTCATATAATATATATAGATATATTCATAAAAACTATAAGTATATATAGGTCCTTACTTTTCTGAATGCAAAAGTAACCTTGTACTAGCAAAGTGTACCTAATAAAGTGGCCGATAAGTTCTTATACCTACCTATACCCTGCTCTGGACACCATATAGAATTTTAGGTAAATGTTCTGCTAGATGTTATAACTGTCTTATTCCAAATACATTGAAAGTCACAGTATTTTCATACGTAAAATTCTTAACATGTCCCTTTGTGTTTGTTTCTGTTCCCACACAGATCTCAGGTCATTTGCCCCACCCTCATCATGCTGTATATGGCAGCTCTGCGTCATTCTTAATTTGGCTCTGATTTGCCGGCATAGGTGACCACCTCCGTCCCGCCACTCACCCCATTCATTTCCTTACTCCACCCGCCTCTGGCTTCCACACACACACACACACACACACACACACACATACACGACATTTAACTCCTCTGGTTCCTTAAGTCTGCCCATCCCGTCCCGTCCCATCAGGTTAAGTGTGGTTCAGCGGAGGGAAAGCAGATGAAGAGCTTCAGTCCATCCACAAACAGAAAAGATTAGATTTCCAAATAGTATTGACTGACTTGCTGATTAAGCAGACCACTCTGAGGTCAGTTTGTGTGAATCCAGGGCTAAATGCTGCTAAAACAATATGGCTGCATTTGCTCCCATAACGAGTAATACACACACATAAACTATAAACTGGATGTATTTATTTAAGATGATGGGTTACAGGTGTTATGTCTGGCATCCATGTGAAGTCAATGATGTCATCAGATGGTGTATTCCACATGGATGTCCGTGTGCCTTCCAGTTAGTTAATACAGTAGAGACTTAATCCATAGCGATGATGAGATTGCCTCTGGGATACATTGTCTTAGCAGACATCATAGTAGAAAAATAAGTATGCTTCTGTGGCACCCACAGTTACCTTTGTGCATGTTCCCTTAATTCTGGGACCTTTTTGTCTCACATATTTGACAACTGGATTGTTCTGTTTATTCATTCTAAAAAATCAGTGAAACAGTTAGCGACTGAACTAGCTTAGCATAAAAAGTTTGTGTGTACCAGTTTTCGTAACAAAGCCATAACTCAAAATGAGGTTTCTGAACAAAAAGAAAGTATACAGATTATTTTTTTTCTGTTTCCTTGAACATGTTCTATGTGAAAATTTGTTTTCTATCAAGAAAAACTTACCATGTTTTTGTTTTGTTGGTCAATTGGTAATCTACCGAAAGGGGAAGACATGCATTTAGGGTCTATTAGAAGGTCTTCCAATAATGACGACTTTTATAAAATAAAAACTATTTTGGCTGTTCAACACTATTTAAATTTGACTTTGAATATTCACATTTGACTATAAATTTGTATTACATTTTTAAAGGATATATCATTTTGAGACACGAATATAACAATGTTGATCAAACCAACACATTTAATAACAGCTGATAAATGCAGTAAATCGAGGAACACATTTTAGAAATTGAATAAGACAGACAGACGAGGTAAACTAGAAATGAAGGAAGGACTAAATAAATATCCACAGACTAAAATATGTTAAATTATGGTCAGCTGGTCAGCAGTTTTTCTCTGGGCCTTCCCTTAACTATATGTAAAAATCATATCAAGGTAAGGGACTAATCATATCTTTAATTTTTCTTTTTTTTAATTAATGTAATATATTTGTTTATTGATTTAATGTAATTAGATTTTATTTTTATTATACATTTAGAGGATTTATTAAATCTTAAATGTAAAAAAACACTAATAATAATCATGTCTGGCCCTGCATCAATATCCACACAAGTAGGTTTTAAAATCATCATCATTATTATTAATAATAATAATATTATAATTAATATTACCATATTATTGTTGTTGTTGTTATTTGTAGTGTTATTAGTATTATACAAATATATTTATTTATATTTATCATAACTCAATAAAAAGTTGTAGCATTCTAAAGTCAAAGGATGTTCTCAAATTCTCTTTAGAATGAGAACAGTTTTTACTTGACAAAAGGTAAGCTACACCATCAGACCATCAACGCTTTAACCCAAAGGATAGAAGCTTTTGCAACAATTCTGAGATAGTCATTGATGCATCTGCTCAGATTTGGCTGTTGATCAATGAATTGTTACAGCAGCTGTATACTACATAAGGGTAGAACGTGACATATCCATTAGACTTGACCAGTTTCCATTCACTTATAGCACGCTCTGAATAGCTTATTCTGATGTGTAGGTTCAGAGGTCCTTGGGTTTGTGTTCACTGGAAGGTGTGGTGCATTAATCATTCTGAGATGTTAAGAAACAGCACAGAAAGTGTTTCCGATTCAGTTTTCAGTTGCTTATTTCATTAAGAACGGAACAAATTTGACGCAACTTAGGGTGTATTTTCACACTCTGAGTATTGAGGTCTTCCACAGTTGACCTACATTATGTTTTTCCTTTGAATATTCGTGAAATTTAGTGTATGTAATGAAGTCGATGTTGATGTTGGTGGGCAGAGGCTGGCGGGTTGTTAGGTTAACAAACTTCCGATTCAGAATAGGGTTTTCCCCCCTCATCTGACTGCAGCTTCGTATCTGAACAGATTGAATTTTTAATCACCAAATTCAACGGATTATAAAAGAGGAAATAACAGCTTGAATGTCAATCTTCCTTCCCATCCCACTATCCCCATCCATCATCCCTTTCACAACTCTCCGCCATCCTACTCCACAGATCAACAGTACTGTACTGCGAGACGGACAGACAAATGGCAGTCTTTTTTCTTTTGGATGACAGATTATTTTTAAATATGATATTTTTGGATCATATTTTGGATTTCTGTCTATTGGAGGCAGAGAGAAAAGAAGAGTTCACCCTCTGCCGTGACATCAAGTGCCTTCAAACTCAAAGGAAAAGATTGACCAAGACCCTTCTTCACAGAAACATAGTTATTCTCTCTGAACGATTGGAAAGAAAGGAAAAGATAAACTAAAGAAACAATACTCCTGTTTGTATCCAGAGGGACAATTTCTTACATTTTATTTCTTTTTGTAGATGAAAGTATTTTATTTTGATTAGATAAAAGTCATGTAAATGGCTTTGCAAAGAAATATTGAGAAAATTATCAGAAAAGAGACTGAGTATGGACAAGATCTTATCTTATTTATTTAAAAACTAAATTCATAATGCACCGAGATTACCATATTGTGACTGGATGACTGGATGACTGGATGTCAAAATAAAGAGACTTCTTGTTGGACAATCTTTGGCTCTCACCCAATGGGATCCAAGCACTGGGTATCTCTAGAATATATTAGTATTTCAAATGAAGACTTTTAAGATGGTGGTGTGGACTTTAAAACAACATGACACCCTTAGTTACGTAAAATATAAACAACAAAAAAAGCCAGAACTTTCTGACACACTAAGCATGATGTGAAATCTCATTTTTGTGATATGAAGGTAGAACTTTCAATTCTAATTTCAACACTTCTCATAGCCATATTGTTTTTCTGTCAAGGGTGGTGTCATTTTTGGTTTGATAAGGGTTTCGTAAAAATTATTTCTCAGTGACTTGAGATTTGACTTAAAACCAGGTAAATTATTGATTTCAAGGTATACTTTTTTTTAATGCACAAAAAGTCAAACAATATACATCCATCCATGATTTGTCGATACCAGCTATTTAGTAGGTGAATAATGCACATTTTTGGAGTCAGAACTAAGTTACGTGGTCAGGCTGAGATTTTACAAAAGAGCATGGGTGAACAATTACAGAGATGGTAACAGTCACTTAGATAAGCTCCAGCCTACAGCCCTAGAAGAATAACAAAAGTATGGAAAATAAAAGGATTGCATGATACATGATTACATGTTGCTTATATACTGCAATCCTCATTTTGCCACACGAATGTTGCACTACAGAAAATGATAGCCGTGGCATAGTTTTCAATTGTTAACTGCACAATTTAAAACTCTGGCTTGGGACACATGTTTTGAAAACTGTTGACAAATGTGGTTGGTCTCAGCTGTTTTAGATACTACAACAAATAAAAAGTTTAATTTGAATCTGGTTTGTGAATTTGAACATGCATCCTCTTAAGTTAGTTCCAATTCCAAAAGTTTTTTTTTTTGTTTTACCTTCAAAGTGATTCATAGTTCGATTTATCTTTTTGTTTGAGCAATAATTCTGACTTGGCATAACTTCTCATTTTATTGTACCATTTTGACTTGTATTCTTGATTTCATTTATGAATCTAATATTTTTTGTTTACTGAGGCCTGCGGATTTTGGTTGTATATTCAGTCATCTGTTGTCTTTTTGATTTGGCAGGTTATATCCTAATATTGGAACATTTGATGAGAATTTTTGTGACATTTGAAAACTGACACATTTTGTTACAGACAAACCGGGTGCTATTTTAAACAGCATACGTATGGAAAATACTTTTAACAAATCCACGCAAGGATACGGTACAAGGGACATTTTGTGTCTTTGGATTCTGTCATGTTCTGAATTTCTGAGTAAATCAGTATATGGCTGAAAATTCTGCCTTGATTTGGTTTAATTGATTGAATATGCATTTTATTTGTCAACTCTAACATTTTGGGTCACAAACATTCAAAGAATAAAGCTAACTTAGATCGAAAAGATAATGTTGCAGCATGTCACTGTCCAAATAATTCTACAATGAGAACAAATACTCAGTGTAACTAGACTATAGAAGAATATTACACAGGAGTGATTTTACTGTACATCCTCAACTGATATCAGTCCAATTTGGTCCAACCTGTTGGACCTATGGTAATATTGTTGTCAGCTGTACTTAGTAACGTGCATATTCCCTCTGGCAGCTAGCTTAGAGGATAAAAAAAGACCAGTGAATAAACTACATTTGATAGTTTGAGCTAAAGCCTGAGTATGTGCAGCAACCACTTGTTTTTTAACTTTGAAAACCATTCAGAGCAAAACTGCAGAAACTGAACTCCAAAGAGTGAACAGTTCCAACTCTCAGAGCCTGAATGTTAGCCAACAACACAGCTAATAAATAGGCATGTACTCATTTTAAAGCATTGTAGTACTTTTGAAAAGACTTTGTGTGAAAATGACTTTCTAGTTGAACGGTTACTTTTTTGAAATTCAGACAAACTTAAGATGTATGGATAAAAAGTGTTTTTATTTCCTGTGTGTTGTACTGCTCTGTGTTAACATTATCTTCTAACTGTCCAGTACAATTGTTTAATTATGTTAAATGCAAAATGTTTAAGCAGTCAAATTTGGAATACATGTATCACTACAAGTTATGCTGTGCCCATCTCCCGCTGGTAAAGCATTCTTTAGTGGTAGTATCTAGTGTCAACCTACAGTTAGACTGCTAGACATTTCCCTCTGGGAACAGTGGAGTATCTATCTCTATGTATGTATAAAGCTTTTTTTTTCTTTTTTTTTTGGCATGACTGGAGAAATAGCTTACTTTTTTCCATTTACCACAATAAATTCTCCACTGGATGCCCCAGGTTTTGACGATAGGTAACATCCAAAAACACACTGTTTGATATAAAGTTGTGACAATCACTGCCAGCGTGACAGTGTGTCCTTAGCCAACATATATATAAATAAACCCTTTAACAATGTCTTGTTCAAGCCCTGATCGTTGAACCTAATTGGGAGCTCCTCTTTGTTTGGACCAATTCAAACTGATATAGTTGCCTGGCTTTGTCAGTACCAGAGAGAGTCGCTTTTCATTGGAAAAACTGGCCAGTGGCTACTTTACCATTTCCAGTTTGAGGAGTTTCCATTCCTAGGGTATCAGGAGGTGGTGAGTTATGTGGCCCTTCTATCTTATGAATGTACTTCAAATCAAATCAAAACGGCTATAACAAGCTTCCGTGGAGGACTCTTTCAGGTCTGTCTGTGCCTTTAGTTACTATAACATAGACTGGGTAATACTGATTAATCTCTACAACATAGAGGGCCTTAATCCAACAAGCAGTAATCTTAAACCTACCCCTGATTCCAACATTTATTACAAGGACAAGGGTTTAGCTACATTGTTCTTCAGGATTGTTACATTGAAGGTATCTGTCCATGTTTTCTTAATGCCAAGCAGTGAGTAAAGATCTTAGATCTCGACCTTGGTCACTGATTGAAAATCAGTAATGAAATTAAATCAATTTATTGCATAATGCCTGGCTTTAAATGTGCCTTTCACGTGTTCTTATTTTCTCAATCATGTACAGTCCTTAAAACACCCATACAGCCAGCAGTACTATAAAGGGTTGTAAAGCCTCAGGTTCTTATAGCTCTTTGGAAGACCAAGCTAGTAGAAGGGTTTTCATTATGTGTTATTTGTAGCATTTATGACAAGAGAGCATGGCCCAATGTAACCTGTGACTCAGTAATCTGCTAGGATAGCAGAGGCCTCAATGGCCGAACACTGAACATGTGCAGGTGACCAGACGGCTGGCCCCTGACCTATACAGCGGAGTCTCTGGGTATCTGGTTCATACGTGAAAGTGTTTTTGAAGACGAAGTGGGCCGTGATCAGATGTCATGAGTGCCTTTGTCTGGTCCGTTGTGTTGAAGATGGAGCTGAGCCAGAAGGCAAAGCTCTCAATTTTACTAGTCCATCTTTGTTCCGGCCTTCACCTAACAGTCACAAAATCTGGGGTCTGCCACCCACTGAAAGCCAGCTGCGTCCTGTTTGATAGATGTAAGTGCATTACTCAATTCAATTAAATTCAATTCAATTTTATTTATATAGCACCACATCACAACAACAGTCATCTCATAGCGCTTTCCAAACAGAGCAGGTCAGACCCTACTCTGAAGTTGATTACAGAAACCCAACAATTCCCACCATGAGCAAGCACTAGGCGACACAGGCAAGGAAAAACTTCAATTCAGCTGTGTTCTTACGGTGGAAACACTGTACACATTTGCGGCCGATTACATTTGGAATACCGTGCATGGCTGCAAACTGACTTTTAATGTTGGCCTCTTCTCCCAAAGTGTAGAAAATCTGATTTTTCCACTGGTCATATTAACAAGGCAATCCAGGACTGCTGGCATGTGCTTAGTGATGGCTTTGACATCCCAGAGCTATGAATAATTTCACTGAATCATGCTCTTCCTAAAAGTGTTTTCGGGCAGAGAGTTCTTTAAATGTTTATATGTCTCGGCTGATTTGTGCTGTTAAGAGCCAGTTGGCAGTCATCATGTAAGCCCAGGAAATTTCGGTGATCCCTTAAAACGCGTTCCCTCATAATTCTTCCATTTACAAGGTCTTCCAGCAGAGCCGATGCATCCGTCACACAGCATAACGCCCGAGTGTCACTACAGTATTTAAGCTACTTTGTGCAGACTTTGACATCAAATTTAAGCCGTCTGATAAGACATTTTATTTATTTGAAATACATATGAGTTATGGCTCACCAGCGCAAGCATAAATACGACTACTTTTGCTTGTGATAAAGTAGATGATTAAACTTTGATACGGAGTGAAATTAAATGTCTGATAGGAATCATGATGTGGTGTGTCTTCAGTTCCCACCTCACCATCTGTGTCACCACTTTCTCCTTTCTCCGAAACGAGCGTACGCATGGCTCAGAGTGAGGGACCATACATTTTACCGTAAATTTTTTCTTAAGAGATCACACTTTTTTGCTTGGAAAGTGGCGTATGCAAGTTTCAGGCCCCATTTTGTGCACACGCAAGTTTTATAAATGAGACTTATGGACAGTGAATTTTGTCTGCCATCCCTGTGAATCTTTCTGTAACAGTCAGCTTAAGAAACACAAAATTTAGTTTGGATGCAGATGTATGTGTTTTCAGAGCATGAAGCGTATCCAGTCGCATAGGCTTAATACGCATTATGTGACTTAGCAATGTTTCTATTGAAACAAAGCTGCATCGAGAATACGTTTGTTCTGGGAACTTTTGTAATTCCGAGGCATTCTTTTAAACTTCCAGAGTCCCATGAGCAATACAAAAGCTGTTTTGGAGATTACTTTTTACTCGACAACTTGGTTTTTTAAATCCTCAGTTTCTGTGATGTACATTCTGATCACATTGGCTTTTTTAAATCATAAGTAGAGGTAAAAGTTGCAGGTGCACATAAGTCTTGGTCTTTGTGTGACTGAAATGGGGATTCACTTCACCTGTCTCACCACATCAGAAGCTATAAGAAACAGACTTTCAAGGATTTTACAGTGTTCATCATAGACGTGGAAGTTGTCTTGAATCAGAAACTCCTCATCAAGAAACAATATGTAAAATTGTTTTGTTTGTTGGTATAGGAATCAGTTTTATAAATGATATCCACACATCATATGATATCCGAATAATTGATGCTGAAGCAAAACTGTAGATAGCTGAAATTTCTTTGAGCGCCAGTTATGTGAAGACATTTTGTTATGCATATGTTATTAACTTAACAGTCTTTTGAAGAGATCTAATCAATAAAAATGATGTGTGTTTTAGGACTGAAACATCTCAAATATGCAAGGCAAGGCCTCTGTCCCTGCATATGACCAGATTTGAGATCCCTGCACTTGGGGAAAATATTGAATGTTATTTTTTTGGGGCTGCACCTTGTAGAAAAATAAAAGGAAATATGGATGAAGATGCATCCAACAGTCCTGCGACCCTATCGAGATTAAGCAGTGCTGAAATGCATATATCAGTTTTTTCTTATCAGTTAAATTCATCCAGGTCTCAATGAGGAGTGTAAAGTATGACAAATGATGTAATTATTATTAATTAAGGTTTTGTTAACAAAGAATTTGTCATTGATGAGAGCAAAGTTTAAAAGGTTGACAAGCATAAAAACATTTTAAATGTAACCTATGGAACAGTCAGCTCTATTGCTTACTGGCTGTAGTGTAACTCAAATATGGATTTATGGAAAAACGCATAAATCAAAGGAAAGGCCTACGAGTCAGAGCTTACTGGACTAGCCTGCCTGCAGTCCTGACCTTTTCCCAATTAAAACCTTGTACAAACCTACACATTTTACTGTTACACACCTTAAGACACATTACCAGGGCAAAGACATCAAAATGAAAGACTCAATTCATAGTACAGAATGTCATGTAAGGGTTTTAAAAAGAAATAAAGTGGTAACAGCTGCATTGCCCTCTTTAAGACTGTTTTGCAGGCATGAAATGAAGAAAGGAAAAGGGGGGAATGGAAAAAATAAAATTACCGGTTAGAACTATGCGAAACAATATCTAAAATATCTAACCCATTGGAGGGTTAATGGTTTGAATTGGGGCCTTTCTGTGTAGAATTTGGATTTTCTCCCAGTATGGGTACCCTGCTGGTACCCCGGCTTTCTCCCAACGTCCAAAATGATGCATTTTAGGTGTGAATGTGTGTCCGCAGGAGTTTGTCTATGTGTCCCTGCCTCTCGCCCAATATTAGCTAGAACATTTTAGTGGTAGGATAAACCTAATGGTGCAAATAAAGGGAAAAAGCATTTGAGCTTGGCAATCAGAGCTAGGGATTACAAGATAGTAACTTATTTATAGGCCCTTCCTCATCAAATAAACAGTAAATCTGGTTTTATCACAGTGATCTCGTGTGTGCATACATTACCCACAGTAACAAAAATGTTCCTCAAACAAAAATGTGCCAAATGTTTCTATTATTATGTAAGAAGATCTAGAAAGATTCCTTATTTTTTCACCCAGTGCTAAATTAGTTTTAGAAATAACTTTCAGGTGATTTATAATCTTGCAAACTCAAAAAATAATCCTCAAAATCCATACTTACCTTATTCATCTATTTCGTCACAGTTCAACTGGTTAGATATTTTTAACCACTGTGCCTGATACTTATTTACATTGGCATAGAATTATCAATAAATTAATTATTTCTCATCACTCTCACACACATCTTACAACAGATTCATTGCAAATGAAATTGAAGGCATTAGAAACATGTGATATACATGTCATTTCATTCCAGGGGATTGCTAAACTAACATGTGTAAATCAGTGAAAAAGCTTGCACACAAATTCAGTAAAGATTTTATTTCTCAGCAATGTCACAATATAAAAAACAACTCAATTTCACATTCAGATAAAAATGACCTATTAGGGGAGTAAAATATTTTAAAAAAGCTGTAATTACTTAAAGAAAAACACGGATAAAAACGGAAAAATCTTGCAATGTCTTTATGTTTGGCCGGGGAAAAAAATCACCTATCACCTCATACTGAAGCATTTAGTTTCCATAAATCTTAAGTTTGCCACCTCTTTTTTTTACTGAAAAAAAGTTACTAAACAAAAACACACTGCAAACATTACAGGAAGACTGTGGCTCACTTTGGTTGGAAACTATATGGATTCATTCCTCACACAAAGGCAGATGGGAAGAGAAAAAAACTCAGTAAGGAACACACAAGCAGGAGAATACGATGATGTGATTCAGTTTTATCTGCCTTACTGTATCCAAAACAAACAGGCTCTACCTCATTTTTCCCCCCATGTTGCCTATTCCAGCTGCAAGTTTCTACTGTACATCTATTCCTGAATATCTACGTCCTGCTTTTTTGGGGCAGGGGACTTGGATAACCCAGGGGAAAAAAATCTTCCCTGTAAATATTCATTGAGCTTGATGTTTGTTATTAAAAAACCAGCACAGAATGGCAAGAATTTTCAAACTAGGGGAGGCATAGAAAAAAATTTGGCACAAAATATATTCCAAAATCAATCACAAACAACAGATATGTATTTCATATCAAATGGTGATTGGGTGAACATGAGACAACTTGGTAAACAGCTTGGATACCCAGGTAAACAAACCCATGCAGATGCAGACGCTGTTTTTAAAATGGACATCAAGTGAGGTTTTGCGCGTCTTATTGAGCCTTTGGGTCTCAGTTTTTCCAAAAGTTGGGGTTCTGCGTCATCCTCCTCTGGAAGTTCTCGTACCACTTCAGCACGCAGCTGGAGGGGATGAACGTCTCCGTGGGGTTGGGCGTCATCTGCGCCTGCGACACGGCGAACGACGACGCGAAATTATACAGGCTCTCCATCATTTTCTGCGTGAACAGCAGGAACGAGTCCGCGGTGGAAACGGCGGCGCTGGTCACCGGGATCTGCTGGGCGAGCTGCTCCAGGGACTCCACCGACACGCCGACCTGAGCCACGGAGGGGGACGCGGAGCCCACCGCCGTCCCGAACGGGTGCTCCCCGCCCTCGCCGGACCTGAGCCCGGATATCTTGAAGATGGCGCTGGGCTTGTCGTTGGTGATGAAGCCCAGCAGCTGCCAGACCGGGCCGCCGCTCACCGGGTCCGGGAAGGAGAAGTAGACGGCTCCGCCCATGCCGACCGGGAACGGCACCGTCCCCAGCATGAACACCACCACGTGTTTGACGTGCTCGTAGTCCGCCAAGTTGAACACAAACTTGTCCGGGGCTACTTGCGCGGCGTCGGTCTGAACCAACCGGCCGGCGACCACACACCCGAACATCCCAGCTGTTAGCCAGCACCGAGCAACCGTTAGCGTTAGCTTTAGCCAGCTAAAAAAGGCCGTGGTCACTATAACCGAAACGTACGGTTAGTGTCCAGTCACCTCAACTGTCCTCGGAAGCATTTCCCCCCAAACGGACCATAACGGGCTAATAAATGAACACACCAAACTACCAGAAACTTCTGCCTCTTCTTCTTCGGTGGTCATTAACCAGCGTCCATTAACGTGCAGTACCGCCATCTGCTGGCTGTACAACTATTAGCAATAGCATTCGCAGTGGAACTGGAAGTTGTTTTATTGTTAGATTCAAGTGATATGATGTGCTTATAATTTGGATAATATCTTGTACTCTGATACATTATACACCTCTTAACCCTCTCACTTTCATATTGAAATGTATTCATTCGTCACAACTGAAAAAATATATATATTTCAAAGGCCATTCATCACATAATAAATACATAAAATCAATTCAACAGAATTGCACACTGTTGGGATCATTTCCCACATGAATGCTTTCAACAAGGTTAACGTGGGTATAAATATACTCTAATGTTACATGTTGTAGTACAAATTGTTGAGTGTTATTCTATATTAACACAGCTGAATGGCCAATAAAGTTGCCCTAATTTACATAGTTTTCTTCAATTTCAGAGAGGTGAGCAAAAAAAAGCTAATGAGGACTGAGCAGTGAATTCAGCCATTCCACATATACACTGATCTTCCACAAGGGAACTTAAAGTATCTTGAATGTTTTCTCATGCAATTTAGGACTGATGTGTCAGTCTATAGCGCTCAGGCGCACGTATATTGTTATCAAACATGTGGCTCAGTCTGAAGTCTGAAAGGATATTCTGTCTACTTATCTATCCATTTGTGCCACCGTCCATCCATGAACTCTGGATAGGAGGAGACCACATAATAGCTCCACAAGCTCATTAATATATAAATAACCAAACATACAGACAAATAGCTACCTCCACAAGTTCATCACACAGCATAGGAGAACTAGAACTTCAGTGAAATACTCGGGAATTCACCTCCATCTCAAAGAGAAGGAACACACTTTGAGGACAGCAGTGTACACATTCTTGAAAGAAGACTGGGGGTCTGAAAGAGACGTAAAGGGAGCCATCTATTTCAAACTGGAAAAAACAACTTTAAACAGAGGAGAGGGACTCGGTATCACCTTCCAGAACTTACAATACGACATAGTCTCCCCTCCTGTAAGGTTTTACAGTTATTCATACCTTCAACCCTGCAACCAGAACTCAGCCTTTCAGGCAGTTGGACAATCTAAAGGTGATAGTGATACTGACGACTCTCATATAAGCCAGTGGCTCAGACTGATATGATGCTTTTTACTCATAAGATGATACCCCCCAGCTTGCAGTTTAGAACTGAAGGAAGTCTTGCATATAAGAGGCCCAATGGCCTTAACTCAAGATCTTCAGATTACCATGACCTGAATGAGAATCAACACTACCTATTGCTAGAAAGTATTCTTTAATGCTTGGAGTGTTGAGTCATACTTCTATAATGGTATAGAAGTAAGGAAACAAAGTAAGTCAGGCCCTGGTGCCTTATGCCATGCATCATCAAACAGTTCTAACATTTCCAAAGAAGAGCAAAACATGCTGCATTAATGCAGTCTGAAAATGTACCTTGTACCAATCAGTGAAATGAAACTGCGCACAGATTATACATAAATATTGTGGAAAATTATTTCAAACCATTGTTTAACAAATCATCATATCAGGGTAACTCTGTAAGAAAACATAATTGAACTACATGAAAGGCAGCAAACGACATAGTTAAAAAATGAATGCTCAGCACATTAGAATATCTGACACCAGGAAAGGTGGCTGACTATCAGTTGATACTTATGAGGACAGAAAACCCCATCACATAAGCTCAGGGATACCTGATTTTTGCCAAAATGTACAAAACTGAAAATGGGTCTAATATTTTCCAATGTCGCAATCTTGTTGATGACCATGTCCCCATCATTAAGACACCTGACTCTCTCTCTTTCTATATATATATATTTATATATAAGTCATGTATATTATTTTTTTCATTTTAATAACAATAGTACTTTTACTTTAGTATTTCCGATTTTGTGTGCGTCCCTGAATGCGACAGACGACGTCCTATTCTCGCACTCACCCCGGTCTGCTAAGTGTTGTTTACCGGCCCGCTGATCGCTCTAGTCCCTCAGAAGAAATGGGAGTGTCTTGATTTTTTTTGTGTCATCCTTGGCAATACAAAAGGTTTGTAACGTCGTGTTTGGGGGGGGGCAGATTTATTTATTGACGCATCGGCCCCTTCATATCTCTGACGAAGAAAAACCTTCATCCCTAAGGGGGAGAGGGAGCCTGGGCCCGTGTCGCCTATAGAACTTGTCCGCGGCTGCACTGCGGCCTTTCGGCTCTCCCGGAACTCGAGACCCGTGGCTCGCATGAGGTTTCGTAGGCCGCCGGTAATATCGGGTAGTTAAAAGGACACCGAGGACTATTTAAGACGACGTAAACTTAGGTAGGTGGCCTCTATGTCTGATACGTAGTCGTCGTTTATCCCTCTGGACTGTAGTATAATGGAAAGCGGTTATTAATCCCCTCCTGTTTAGATTGACCAGTGTCATGCTAACGACTGTTAGCCGGCTAATATTTACCTGCTTTATAGGGTGTCGGGCTCGTGGATATATGGTCGTGTTTTTTTCGTGATAGTCACGTTTACCTTAGTAGTGTGATAGCAAAGGTAAGTGATATTGCCAGCTTAATATAATGCTAACAGATAATGCCTACAATCAAAACATTTGTGCTCGGCTCAACGGCTAGCAGCTATGGACGTGCCCCGGCTATATCCTATTACGATTGGGTATGATGAAAAATTCAGTATTCATATGCCTCTGGCTTTCTCAGGTACGTTTATTCTACGCAGTTTCCCGATTGAATATTGTCTGTGACCTAGTTGACATTGTGTATACTCAAAGTCGTAAACATAGATTGGTCGAAGGCAGGGCAACTTGGTAAAGTAACTGCCGGTGAGGACGAGTGAGGCTTATGTCATTAGTCTGATTCTGTAAGGAGTTTTTCTGTCTTGCTAATACTTGCTCCGTGCCGGGCTCGCACCCCGTGACAACACCAGACCCTTATGAGCGGTTAAATATCCCTTTCTTTCTTTGCACTAAGCTTTTGTGAAATGGAACAAATTCAGCATTCGGCTGTGCAGTTATCAAAAGCACACAAACAAATTATCTCTACATTGTATTCCTAAAATGGACTCAAACAGAGCTATAGGCATTGCAGTCGTAAATAAAGCCGGGTTGCATACAACCACTGTTTGCAGCATTATTCATTTAATTCTCAACCTATTCTGCGCTGGCAGCTAAATTAGCAAATCTCTGAAGGTAATTTGACATCACAAGTTTTTGTTTAAAGGGCTCGTAAGCTCTGATAATTGTTTAAAACTGTCTATATAATGGACTGTCTATGCAATGGACTGGTACAATCAAGACATCAGCAGACAAACGCTGACCTGTGTAGGTAAACTTCACACTGTGGTCTTATAAAGTCATTAGGAGAGCAGACGTCTACAAATCACGCTGGGATTAATTTGGTCTGCATACGTCTGCGTGACATATTGCACTACTGTTTTTCTGTCAGTTAAATCTTTAACACAGCTGGTGCTTAGAGTCTCATTGAAAGACACATCTCAGGGATGCTTTTCAGCATTTCAGAGTCAAGTATAAGAATTAAAAACTGTGTTAGATTTGGAGCGCTGACCATATAGCAGGACTTCGCGTGCTCCCAACGCAATGCCTGTTCGGGCAAACTGACTTACAGTCAGTTTATAGAATGATGCCACTTCTGACAGCCCACTGTGACCATGTAGAGAAATAAATATTTTGTTTTCCCAAGCTTGAAAACGGTTCCATTGACTTAATTGTGTTTAAACCCACAGGAAAGTTACTTTTTCTGTTGCTTCTTTCATTACTGCCACGGCGCACACTGATATGGAGCGTTAAGGTGCTAAATGCCATTATAAAATTGTGAGAAATACTATGTTTTTTTGTGTAAAGTATTCCAGCACTCTTGATTTGATTAGGAGCAACAGTCAACATAAACAAGCAGCTAAATCCATCATCAATCTGACGATTGTGAGACTGTGAAAGTGCGTGAAAGCTGATATTCTTTGAGTTATCATAAGGTAAATTGTGTAGTTGTGTTGCTTTTGAAGACGTATTCACAGTATGAATGAAAGAATGTCGTAGCTTCATCTTTTACAAACTAAAGCTAGAAACGGCGATTTGTGAATGTTTTATTTGTTGCAGATGTTGCGAGCTAATGCTTAACATATGGTATTCACATGCCTCCGTTCAGAAGAAGCATCCTCAGATGGCTCTCTTGCCCTGTGGACCCCAGCAGCTGTTTTACAGTCCGTGGTGGTCTTCCCAACATTATAAGTCTGTGTGAAGACAAAACAAAAGCAAACTCACAAATACAACTATATAACGCTATGTTTTTAACAAACGTCACTCTTTTGCTTGCACTCTTTTTCCTCCTTCACTCTTTTTTTCTCACTCATCTTCCATTAAAGTTTCAGTTTTAGCAATACTGTTCAACATTACCATCATATATTCTTACAATTAGCAGAAAGTACACAATCTCACCTTGGTTAGCTTTGGAACATTTCAGACTGAGCAAACTTTGATGGAGTTACTTTAGGTCAGGACATGTAAACATTGGTAAAAGATTAACATGTTGATGGTTCCATTAATGTTACAAATCTCACCAATGAGAGGAGGGCAGGCACGTTTTGAAGGAAATGTGAAAGAGGCATAGCAACATAGCTCCCTGACTGGACAACGGAACGGATAGTGGATTCTTTATTGAACAAAATTAGCATTGTGCTAATTGTCCCTGTGCTGGGACTGCATTGGTAAAAACTGTATCATCTCAGCTCATCAACTCAGCAGAGTTTAAGGACCCTGTGCTATGTGTTTTTTGTGTGTTTTTAAAGGAAGTTTACAGTTGTCAAGTTAGCCAAACCGCTTGTGCAACATTCCCACTGTGAGCACAGAACAAAGTCAGTCCAGGCCACGATATCAAAATGAAGTCACTGGCTTTAGTGTAGCTGCTGGGTGACCATAACCTGTCTTCTGCAGGTTTTTAGTGTATGGATTTACCGGTGACACTTAAAATAACCGGTGATGAGGCTTTTAGGTTTGTTTGTGCTCCCTTGTGATGCTGAGCGTGTTGTTTTGACTTGCGGGTCAAAGGCTTGCATGGTCACACTGACCGCGTTTTTCTGGGGACTGTTGTCGTCCAGATTCCCGAGTCTCGCAACACTCTGCTGTGATGGAGACAGTGTTTGTTTATTCATGGGCATTCCAAAAGTAAATGCAATCCACGGTAAATGGTCAAACTTTTTTTGATTTCGAAGTTCGAGTTGATTATTCTCACACCGTGCCACAGAATGATTGACCAGCTTGGCGTCCTGAAAACTTACAAACTGCAGATATGAGCATCTGTGGAGATGATAGGGCTATGAGATGTACAGTTGTGTACTTTTTTTTAAAAACACAAATATGACAGAACAATTTTGTTTACCCATTTAAACGTTACCGCTTTGTAAATCTCACTGGAGAAATCCCGCCAAACTGCATGAAGGTGTGCTGGTTAGCACCAATAGCTTGTAGCAAAGAAGGTTGTTTTGTGTGGAGTTAGTGCGCTCTCCTCACGTGCGCGTGGGTTCTCTAAAAGGACAAAGCCTTCCTCCCACAGATCGTACATCTCGCACCAGCTAGCTGAGACAGTTTCCTGTGGAGGCAATGGCTGCCACCTCCCCTGTTTGGTGAATGTTCCTTTACTTGCAGCCCTTAACCCGGTTTTTTCTCTTTAGGTTTCACTCCCTCCAGTTGGTTGGATGAGTACCAAGCAGCATCACAACAGTGAACAGTGATTGGGCACTGAGCCGGACGGGGTAGCAGACGGGGAGACAGGTGAGGCTCTTTTTATTTATTTTTTTAGTCATCTAAAAATGCAGTGAAATTAAATGGGCCCCTCTCCTTACTAACAGCTGACACTCAGCACACTGTAAAGCCAGTGTAACATCATATTAGCTGGTAGTTGTATTTTACAGCAGTGCATCACTGATTTTTTTTTAATTTCTCTGTTTGTCAAGGGTCAACCCATAGTCATATTTCACTTTTACTGACAGAAAAATATGATATCTACCACCCAAGCACTATAAAGTGCTTCCGTCCCATCTCTCTGATTCTTGTCGTTTCCCTTATTATGCACATTCTGCCTAAGTTATTCTTCAGCCTATTTAACACCTTTAGCAAAAAAGGAAAAAATTAACAATGAATAATACTGTCTCTAGCTTATATATCTCAAACTTGACTAAAATTGAGGATTGCATGAAAACCGAAATTGAGATTGTAACTTCCTCACTTCCTCATAAAATCCATCCTTCCATAAATGTTACCAATGGAGTCTTACAGGAACTCCATCGTGGCAGCAGCTTAAAAGGTGAGCTCCCCGACCTAGATGCAAAAATCTGTAGTTGGTAAGAACTTTGGAGAATTAATGGCTTGGAATAACGGACACATGGAGGGAGCTAAATCCCTCAGTAAACTCAAAGCTCAACTATTTCTTTATAATAAGGATAGATCAAGAGTGGGAAAATTCCGATATTGGTTTAATGGATGTATTGGATCATAGTCCAGTTTATTATCAGGCCTGGAATTGTCAACAAAAAAAACAACCACTCGGAGGCTTAAAGGGAAATATGAAGGAGGAACTTATGAAAAAAAAAATAGATTTATGTATATTTATGTAAGGGTAAATTATAATGGAGAGCTGTCTCCATCCATCTAGTGGGATGTGTGCAAAGTAGTAATCCAAGGGAAGCTAATTGCCAAATGTGCATATTTAAAGTGGCAAAACCAGGGAAAACTCTTTTTTGGAGCAATAGAAAATGAATTAAAAACTGCACTTTAGAATATTTTAGAAAATAAAAAAGGACAGTTTGTACATGAAACAGATTTACAAAAGAGGGAGTCAGCCAAGATGCCGGCGTATAGAGCAAAAAAGCAAGTGGTAGCGATGGGAAAACCCCAGAGGGAAGCTTTCATTGAGGTTTTCCCTAAGGAAAGCAAAGAACTCATTTATAGAACAGTTAGTGTCCTAAATTTAGACTATAGATTATTTACTGGAGTTATGGCTAAATGTTTAGAAGTAATTGTGCGAGACATGATTGATTTGGACCAAACAGGGTTCATAAAGCAGAGACAGACACGGGACCATATTAGGTTTACATTGCATGTGATATATTGCAGAACAAGCAATAGGAACAAAGTTTCCACCAAGGCTGCTCCATTAGCCCACTCCTATTTGCAATATATTTGGAATCTTTTAGCCAACGGATAAAATGGAACGGAAATATAAAGGGTTTACCCAAAGATACCTTATTTTTGGATGATATGTTGACATTTATCACGACCAGGCAGGTTCCTTCCAGGACTAATGGATAAAATAGATGAGTTTGATCCGCTGTCGAGCCAAAAATTAAACGTGAAGAAAGCCCAGGTTCTCTCCTTCAACTATGCGCCAGATCAATGCATTAAAAAAAAACCTTATCTGAATTAAGATATATAAATTAGTCTTTTAGTGTCTAGAATCAGGGGCACAACTTGTTAACTTTATGATGGGTGTGCAGACACATTACATTACATATTAGAATATGGCAAATTTAAGAACGATTGGCTGGATTTAATAACCAATGACGGTATATTTTTTAAAGAATAATATTGTGGGGTTATATACCCTTGTAGTGCGACAGAATGGAAGTAGTGCGCCCACAGCTATTTTTCAGTGAGAGGACATTTTAAAAAATGATAAGAAGAAAAATGGACAGGAAAATGTGGTTTTGTGTTGAAAGAGCTTGTGCAGGTTGAGGAATATAAAGGATAATAAAGGTTGTTTTACATTTGTACAGTCTAAGTGTGCTGCATCTCTTGGTTCTTTATATCAGACATTTGACATTTTGGATCTACACTTGAATTGAAATAACAAATTCAATAAAAAAAAACTGCTAATTTAAAAAGGAAAAAGGTTTCATGTGTATCTCTTAATTGAATATTCACTAAAATCACAAAGCCAACAAGACCTAAATGTGTCAAAATAGTCAAACATTTTCCAAGTCATGTTAGATTTACAGGATTTGCCGTACAGTTGAGACAAAGTAAACATTGTAAATCATCCCATAGCAGATACAGGAGTTTATTTGTAGCTCTTTAGCATAACTTGCAACAACGGGTTAAGGGTGCACAATAAGGCCTCCTTGTCAAAGATGAAGGCACTCAAACATGGCTGTCCATGTTTGATGTATGAGCCCAGTATCACTGCTTGCTTCTACATTTTTTACATCTTAAATTACAGCCAGTTAATGTTGGCCTGTGTAGATGCTGAATATCATAGTGAGGTTAGGTTTCAAACTGTAAAAATATACTGCAGTAACATTTTTTTTATTTAAGCAAGGAACAAAACCAATCAGTTAGCAATAACAAAGATGCCTCTGAAGATTTGTACGACGATAGAAAAAATGTGAAAGGAACAGTTTGAGGAACATCCTGAAAAAATCAGGATGGAATTAGTTTGATGTTTTTTAGTGTTACAAAATTGCCGACTTTTCTACGTCTTCCATCTTCGAACGACTTCTCAGTCCGATGAAATTTCAGACATCACTTACAGACCATAAAACATACACAACTCAGTTCAGACACTTCAACCTCTATTCATTAAGAATGTTGTTGCTACCTGCTACTTCCACATTAGTTCACAAAGTAAATTTCTTTTCAGGGAGAAAACCTTAATTCATGACTTTCCAACTTATGCAGCAAAACAAGCAGCAACCCCATAATTCTTTAGAATGGTAACATTGAGTATTGTGAATCAAATGAAAAACAAGGTCTCATTTCTCTGAGCATTCGGTGTGAAACGCACTCACGATTTGTATGATTTGTATCCCCTCAATGACTGTAAGACATTTTCTGTCGCTTTAGGCCTGCCATCATGGCCGATGTGGATCCAGACACCCTACTGGAGTGGCTCCAGATGGGCCAGGGCGATGAGCGGGACATGCAGCTCATCGCTCTGGAACAGCTGTGCATGCTCCTGCTCATGTCGGACAACGTCGACCGCTGTTTTGAGACGTGAGCATTCGCGATTACACCGCAGGCGTCTTCTTCGTCTTACACTTGTCACCTCAGATCTGAGAAAACGCTCTCCCCTCCCCTGTTTTTTTCAGATGTCCTCCTCGGACGTTCCTACCAGCACTGTGCAAAATATTCCTGGACGAGAGTGCTCCGGACAACGTGCTGGAGGTCACGGCCCGCGCCATCACCTACTACCTGGACGTGTCGGCAGAGTGCACTCGGAGGATCGTGGGGGTGGACGGGGCCATCAAGGCGCTGTGTAACCGCTTGGTGGTGGTGGAGCTTAACAACAGGACCAGCAGAGACCTGGCTGAGCAGTGCGTGAAGGTATGAGTTAGGAGATCATGTCTTTAACCCTGTAATGCAAAATGCATCCTATTTGATACATACGGTTTTTTAAGTGCTTTGCATCTGACACCTTTTGCATAATTTAATGGTAAAAACTTTGCTCAAAATCATATTGTACACAATCAGATATACCTGATAACAGGGGGCAGAAGACTACACAAAAAATCATCTTCACTTATCGCATAGTAATAAATTATTAATATAAAAAATGTATTTCTGTTTTAATTTTTTACATATTTTGTTTAAAGGGCAAATAAGGAATTCAAAACAAAAATAAAAGTAATTTTCTGTTTTGTTTTGTTCTTGGATCAGGCTTAAAAGGGTTCATCTGTGCCATCATACCAAAATGAACGATCATTCTGGCCTATTTACAGATTCCTCTCAGGGACTAATATAATTTACCCTACGTTATTCTAAATGTACCTGATAAAATAATCCCATTTTTGGATGATGACCAGTGGGGGGAAATGCTTGTTCCTGTTCTGCATCCTAGATATCTCTGATTTTAAGTCTTTCTCACTTTCTTGGACTTTGGGAAATTCAGTTAGCTCCACTAAAAAGGTCACATTTTTCTGTTGCCATGGTTGCACACTATAACTGGTGTTCAGCAGGAAAGTCAAATGACCAGAAGTAGTCGGAAAATTCGAACCAGCTCAGAAAAAATGTTTGTGAATTTTCAGGAGATGATATTAAAGACAGACGCAGTTTTGTCCCGAACTGCTACGGCAGGCTTCTGCCTCCAGGGCAGTGCCAATATCGGGGGTTTCTTATTTGTTTTGTTCTTTTTGGTTGCGGCAGCAGTTTTCTATAAAAGATTATTCCACGAGAAAAGATAACTCGCATTCATTGCTGACGTTCCTTTTCTTGGAAGAGGATAAGTAATGAGGTCTTCCTGTAGTGTGAACACCTTTTTGTCCCCTTTCTTACAAACAACGACCCGGTCTGCCACTCCACAGATGTGGCCCCAAACCAGATGTGGGTAGCAAAAAAATACTGTTCCTCAGTAATCAAGTAGAAATTATTTTATTGATTTAACAATTGGGATGAATAGCATGATATGGTCAGAAATTGACTAACAATAATATTCAGAAAGGTGGAAAGTTGGATCTTTGAAAGATTATAAAGTTCACACCGTCGTGATGATAGAGGAAATAGATTATTTGCCACGCCGTCGCATCATATCCAGACCTTTAGCATCTCGGGGTGCTTTACCAACAGGGTGGCTTTTAGACTACCCCGATGACTTCCACCAAGGAAAGAAAGCCCACAGGCTGAGTAATCTGAGCTGCTGTTTGATGCCTACGCACGAAAAGAACCTTCCCTGCTGCGACGTGCATCCACAGTTAGGCAGCCCCAGACAGCCACTCAACCTGGGGCTTAAAGTATTCCCTCACCAACCCGACAACCCCTCTTCCCGGGGGTAGTGCCACAGCATGAGTCTTGCCCCCTCCTATGGAGCTCTGTCCCAACTAAATGTAGCTGATGTCACTCCGCTTCGCACACCAGCTCAGGTTCTCTCCCCGCCAGCAAAAAACGGCTGCCCACGTCTCAGTGGCCGGTTTGCAACACACAGGATTGGAACGTCCAGGCCTCTGCCATAAGCTGCTACACACACAATGTAGTTGACCTTAGATTTCCTCTTTGCAAGAGGAAGTGTTTATTTTAGGGCTGAGAGAGGTACACAAACTTTTCACTCATTTACTTTTCTTTGAGGCAGA